AAAAAAAAAAAAAAAAAAAACAAAAACTTTATTTTTTTTTTCCTCTTTGATAAATCTACGAAAACGAATATAAACGTAATAATTTTTTTTTTTTAATAATTTCTTTCTATTTATAATAGGTATAATAATGTTTTACGTCGCGTAAAAAACACGTGGACTACACTGACCTGTTGGTTATATTATTATGATAATATCGTTTAGGCGCGTTACGCGGTCACGAACCGGCCGGGTTTTCAGACGAGATACGCTTGCACGGCGTTCTGGTGATGTTGGTGGTGTCTCGCGGACCTCCGGCTGTTGGTGCGCTCGAACTGCTGCTGTTGCTGTTGCTGTTGCTGCTGCTGCGGCATCGACACGGTCCGGGCCGGCGATTGGTGTACCGACGGCGGCGGCGTGTCGATGGCCGAGTAAATGTGCTCGGCGGACGCGGGACGGTCGTCGCCGCCGCCGAGTTTCGGAGACGGCGTGGCCGTGGTGGCCGTCGAGTAGTTGGAGTCCTCGTGCCGGTGCTGCGGCCGCGGCAACGAGCCCGGGCTGTGATGGTGGTGCCGGTGGTGCTGCGGCGTCGTCAACGTCGTCGTCTTGTCGTGCGGCGACGGCTGTCGGCGGTGCGCCGGGGCAGTCGGCGCGCGCGTGTCTATCGTGTAGTTGTTGATGTTGTTCCGGTAGTTGCAAACCTTGTGGTGGTGATGGCTGTTGTTGTTGTGGTGGTTGTTGCTGGGCATCAGATACCGGAGCCGTTCCCAGAACCGTTTCTCGCCCCATCGCACCTTGGACGCCACCTTCAGATACGGTCTGATCTCCGGGTCGGCGTCCGCCTCGGCCGTCACGCTGTTCTCCTCGATCAGCACCAGCTTGTACACTTTCCCTTTGAGCGCCTCGTGAAGCGCCGTCCGAAATTCGTACCGGGACCATTCGGTCTGTATAAAGTTCCGGGACAGCACCACGATCACCCGGCGGCTGGCCTCCGCGGCTTCGATCACCACGGGCGACGACCCGGCGTGGTACATGGACGTGATGGGCAAGTCCCGGTAGTGCAGGCACAGCTGATACGACGGGTTGCCGTGCTCGAGCTCGGCGACCACCGACTGCAGGACGAACTCCTCGTCCTTGGGGCTGTACAGAACGTAACCGTCGTACAGCTTTTCGCGGTCCTCGTAAAAGTGCTTGTTACCGGAATGCTTGCAACTGAACACACGTATGCCGTACTTGGTGTACAGCCACACCTTGATGTTGTCCCGGACGGCGAACACCACCAGTGCCAAAACGAACATTACCAAAAGGAACATCAGCAGAGGCACGTAGCTGGACGCCATCATATTGCCCAGGGCCCAACCGCCGGTGTAAAAGTCGCTGCACGCCGTGTCGTTGAAGTCGATCTCGCGCCTCTGCCCGGGATCCGACTCGTCCGGCACGCACGTCACGTCCGTCACGTCGACGATTTTCGGCCCGTTCTCGTACACCCAATTCCGGAACGGTTGCAGGAAAACGCAGCGGCACGACCACGGGTTCTTGCCCGCGGACAACTGCACCAGGTACGGGTTGACGGACAGTTGCCACACCGGGAAACCGGTCAACAGGTTGCCGTGCAGTTTGAGTATTTCGAGATTGCGGAGCGGCGCAAATGTCATGTTGTTCACGTACGACAGCCGATTGTTTTGCAAGTGCAACTGCCGGAGCTGATAGAGCTGCTCGAATTCGTAACCGTTGAGCTCCGTGAGCATGTTGTCTTCCAGGTGAAGCACCTGCAACGAGCTGAGCCGGTTGAAAGTGTGGTTCTGGAGCGTTTCGATTTTCGAATTGTTCAGGTACAAGTGCACCATGTTCTTGCGGCCGATGAATATGTGCCCTTGCAGCTGGTTGAAATTGTTGCCGTCCAAGTAAACGTGCGTGGCGTCCATCGGCAATTTCGGCGGTACTTGATTGTTACGCTGGTACGAACAGTCGACGATATTCGTGCGCCACGTCTGGTCGTGGTAGCACGTGCAATTGCTGGGGCACGTCATTTCGCAGTCGCACGCGTCAAATTCGCAACACTTGCACACGGTGAAACAATGCGTCTCGTATTTGCACAGGAACTGCGACGGTCTGGTCGACAGAATGGGCACCACCTCGGAGCCCCGGGAATCGGTCGTCTTGCACACCACGTTCTCGAGGTCCATCACCTTGGGGTGTTGCCGGAGCTGGGTCATGTTGTTGACGGTGGGCAGCCAGTCCATGGAACAGTCGCATTCGAACGGGTTGCCGCCGATGTAGAATTCCGGCAGCGAACGGTTTATGGGCACGAAACCTAGCCGCAGGGCGCTCACGTCCAGTCGGGTCAACTCGTTGGCGTACAGGTCCACGCGCACCAAGTTTTTCTTTTTCGAAAACGTATTTGGCCGGATGGTCGACAGGAAATTGTTGTTGAGAAACAGTACCTCCACGCTGTTCGGTATCGACCGTTCGGAAATTTCGGATATGCGATTGTGACTCGCGTCGATCGTATTGATGTTCAGCCGGTCTTTGAGATTGTAATAGTCGCCGAGTTCTTGCACGTAATTATCGTGCAGGTCCAACCATTTGAGATTGGCCGGCACCATCGCGTAGTCGAACCAAATCAAATTGTTTTTCGACAAATTGATCCACTGCAAACTGGTCAGCGACTCGAACACTCCGTTCACGTCGGTCAAGTAATTGGCGTCCAGCCGGATGGCTTGAATTTGGCTGTTTTGCGTGAACGTGCCGCGCTCGATGGTGTAGATTTTATTTTTCGACAAATTCAACACTTGCAGATTGGGCAAATTCGAGAACATGCCTATAGTCAGATTCCCGATGAAATTATCCACTAGCCTCAATCCGGTTAGCAGTTCCATGTTTTTAAACGAATTGTTGTGAAACACGCTGATTTGATTTTCGCCCAGGTCCAACGTTTTCAAGAACGACAACTCGTTCAGCGCCGCGGGCACCTGTTGAATGGCGTTCGAGCTGAGATCGAGTTCTTTTAGGGCCGAACAGTTTTTGAACGCTTGGTCGTCGATGGCGATCAACAGGTTGTTGTTGATGGTGAGCTTGGAAAGTACGTACAGGCCGTTAAACAGTCGCGAGCCGATGGTGTGCAGCCGGTTTTCGGCCAGGTTGAGCGTGTGCAGATTGTACAGCGGCAAAAAAGCGTTTTCCTCGATGTTGCTGATGCTGTTGTTGCTCAGGTCGAGAATCTGCAGGAACACCAGGTCCTTGAAAACGTTCGACTTGATCCGGGTCAGCCCGTTCCGGGACAGGTCCAGGACGACCAGACGGAGGAGACCGACGAACGGGCCGTCGTCGAGCTGGTTGATCTTGTTGTTGCTCAGGTTGATAATGACCATCTGATCCAGTCGGTGAAACAGTCCGCGGGGCAGTTCGTACAACCCGTTGTTCTGCAGGTACACCTCGCGCACTTCGTGATTTTTCGAGAACAGGTTTTCGGGCAAGGTTTCCAGCCTGTTGTACGACGCGTTAAACACCTTGAGCGACGTCAACGTCGACAGACTGTCGGCGGCGATTTCGGTGATGCCGTTGTGCTGCACGTTGAGCGTTTGCAGACGCTTCATGGTCGACACGGCGGTCCGGGCGGGCACCGTTTGCAGGCTGTTCCACGACAAGTCGAGCAGTTTGAGGTCGGTGCCGCCCGGGCAGTCGGGCCCGGAGAAGCCGAGCGTGGTCAGGTCGTCGATGCCGTTGTGCGACACGTTCAGCTGCTGGATGTTCTTGAGCGCGCAAAACGCGTCGGCGGGCACCGTGTGCACGTTCGACTCGGACAGATCGAGCGACTGGAGTTCGCTCAGCCGGTCCATGCTGCCCTGAGCGAGTTCCAGACTCTTGGTGGCGCCCCATTCCAGGTTGGACGTGTGCACCGTGAGCTTCTTGAGCCCGGCCAGCCCGTCGAACAGGTCCGACGGGATTTCCAGCAGCTTGCACCGGATCAGCGCCAGCTCCTCCAGCTGGTGCAGCGGCCGGAACATGCGCGGCACCACGGTGCTCTCGGCGAACATTTTGTCGTTGCACTCGACCGTCAGCCGGAAGGTGCCCTCCGGTTGCACGGACGCGAGGTTCGGGCTGTCCGCGGCCAGCGTCCGGACCCGGCACTGTACCCACGTCTTGGCCGTGTCGTTGTTGTACGGCAACCACGTACACTGTTCGCCACCGCCGGCGTCGGGTTTGGCGGCCGCCGCGACGCACATCGCGGCCACCAAAAACAGTTTCGTTTTAAAAAACATTTTTTCGTCGGTAGCGTTAAGTTTTTTATTTTGCCTCGTTAGTCTGGCGCGGCGACTGTCGCGAAATCGTAATTTTTGTTTATTATTATTTTTTTTTTTTTTTCCGAAACGCGATGTTATTTATTTCAAAGAAAAAATAATTTTACGTTCGTCAGAAAACCGAACGGATCGCGTGCGGCCCCGTCGTCGGTCGGCCGGTCGACATGATCGCAAACGGCGGCGACGACGAATTAATTTACCCGAAACGCACACACGACGGGCAGGGAAAAAAAAATTAATAACGTTTAAAAATAAAACACTAAAATATTATTGTTAAACGGAAAAAAAAAAAAAACTAAAAATATATTATTGTCGTATAACTCCTATCGGTTTGTATATTTTATTGCAAAGTGCGAGAGGAAAAACGGATAGCAAAAAAAATTAATTAAATACACTGGGTACGTTCGCTCGCGCGCGCGATCACTTTCACATAGTGTTTACAAACGGCTGACGGACCGAGACGATGCGCGGACGAACTGTCGGCGGCGGGTTCACGGCGGAGACTAAACGCGACGGGCACGGCCGCACTGGCCCGTGTACCCGGAGTTCCGCGCGTTGTACCGGTCCGCCGACAGGGCGCAGCACGTCACGGACGCCGGCCGTGGCCGCCGGTCCCCACCCCCGTGATATTATTGTTGTTGTACAGCCGCCTCGGATACAACTCGGCGGACGGCCGCGGCTGTCCGTCCGGCGGTGGCGGCGGCGGCGGCCGCGACCAGCACCCGGTTTACGGTTACCCTGTGATTATACGCCGCCGCCGCCACCGCCACCGCACGCCGTACGGTAGTCGGGCCCGACGTAATTTTCCTCCCCGCCGCCGACCGATAGCACGTCATTATTGTTATTAATTTTATCGCGATAACGATATTATTGTCATTAATTTCGGAATATTCCATTTCTTTTTTCGTCGATGTTTCCGCGGTCCGCGAATTTACCGACAGGCCGAATTCGTTGCGAAAAACGACGTACACGCCTCTTTACTCGTTGTGTCGAATATTTATCTCCCTCCCCCCCCCCCCCGAAAACCGAAACTACAATATTATTGTCGTATCCGTTTTGTACGTAAAACTCACTCCCGATACAGTTCCCGGACGCCTTTTAACGGTTCCGTCCGGGCTCTCCCTCGCTCGGTAATCGGAGTTTTGTTTTGTTGTTCCGGACGGATTTCGAATGGATTTGAACTTTACCGCGTAATCGCGGGGGAAAAGGATGTTTGTTTTACCAACGTGCATCCGCCCCCGTTCAAATGAATCCCGGGGAAATGGATATTTTCGGTTAAAATTTGTATAACTACAATGTAAATAGGATTGATTTCGACGGTGCAATATTATTACCGGCAACAAGTCGGCCGGCGGGAAAATCCAACGATACAATATTATATTGCGGGCGTAAAAATATCGATTGTCGTTTTCGTTTTCGTTTTAAACGATTTTGACACAGAACAGTAAAACAAAACCGATTTGCCTGCTAAAAAGCAGCAAGTTTTAAAAAAAAAAAACCGCAGTACCACATTACATACTTCCGATTGCGTTTGCAAAAAATATCTCGGAAACTTGAAAGTTAACACATTCTGTTTTTTTTAGATTTTTCGATAATAGGTATGTGCTCTGTAACGTTCGAAATGCTGCGGTTCAACATTAATAACATCGTTCGGCATTACGTCTAACGCCATCTAGCTGACGAAACCGGCGCGACACATTGAATATCTGTAAATAGCGATTCGTACACCTGGTTCCGATAATACTGTCCGAAAACGACTAGACGAACATTTTACGTTTCTCTGTTTATTACGTTACGTTTAAATTTTGTTATTGAATGTGTTAAGTGTACGCAAATCGATTAGGTATGTTATGAGTACCCATTATAGTGTAGATAGGTGTGACGTAGGTACCGTACTTATAATATCGGGTTTTTTTTTTTTTCTATTAATTTCCAATGGGGAAACCTCCGAATAGCGGACGTCCGTATTAATTTCAGTTTAAAAATATTGACAAATCGGCGATAGCACAAAATAAGATAAGATAAAATTACAAAGATCGTGACGAAAATATTATCAATGTCTCGATTGTCGATGTTTCGTCCGTTTCCGTTTGCAGGTTTTCGATGATATGCGCGCGTTAAAGCGAAAGTAATCAGTCGCAGAAATTCAAATTCTTCACTTCCGTTAAACTAACGGAAACGTATGTGTAAAGGTACTCGTAGAATATAAAGATGAAATTTCTAAAGCCGGGAGCCGATGTTTTTTCTCGCCGTGTACGTCCGATAGATTCGTTTTCGTTTTGCGCCTTCGCAAGATTTACCCCGGAGACGTTCTTGACAAGCCCTAAGACGGTGGGGGGAGAGAAGGGATAGAAGGAGAAAATATATTTCATATTATACACACGCATCTCAATTTTCCCGCCCCCGTTGTTAGGGACACGACAATTAATTTGACGCGGTACCGTAATAATTACCACAAACTATAAAGCGTGGGTACAACGACCTTATCGTTTGTACTTTGTACCTACCTACCTTTACCTATAGGTACCGCATAAAAGTCTGTCGAAAAAATAAAAACTAAAAAATTCGAAATTGTCTTTTATAATTTATTTAAAAGCACAACAAATCTATTAAAAAAAAAAAAATCTACAGCCTATCGCCTCTTTTTTTTTTTTTGTTTTTCTTATCGTCCGGATAGAAACGAGTATAACGTAAATATTTCGGCGGCACCGCGCCACCGTCAATATGATAAGACATAGTTAAAGAATTGATAATCCACGGAAAAAATTACGGGTACGCTGCTTATTAGAGTGACTCTGCAGGGGCGGACTGGGCCGGGAGAAAAGGCGGAAAAGTCCGTTCGAGCCGGTAAGATTATTAACCATTTTGGGCTGCTACGCGTACCTACATCATGTGCAAATTTTTTTTTTTTTCCAAGTTTATTTGTATGAATAAAACGTATTTCAAATTTAGATATTATCATAAAACTGGTTTGGTATTGAAACAGAAACAATCCTATCCAATTCATGACATATGTCAGAGCACGTTTATCGAGTTCAGTGGTTCAATACATTTAATATATTTTTCTGTGATAAAACTGTGTGGTAAAAATGATGTACCTAAACCCAACGGTAACACGTTATCAGCGAGCAACGACTGACGGCTGTAGTACACTAATAATAATACGTACCACGGTCTTAGAATAGTTAATTATTATTCATAATAGTAGGTAATTCGCAGTAGGTGGCACTTAGCAATTTGTTCATATTTTGTCTTTTGAGATTCATTTTCAAAAATAATCAGTACCTAAACTATTCTAATTGTTGTAAAATGAAAAAAAATTAAATCGACAATTCGAAGGTTAAAAATGCCGTCAAAATCAGAGCTGAAAAGTGCCGCGTAAGACGAGCTGCTGAGTTACTATTATTGCTGAAAATGACGAGAATCAAAGAAAGCTTAACCTTTTTTTAAATATTTAGGCGAGAACAGAGGTGTCTTCGGGGGAGGCAAGAAGGGGCATTTGTTCCCCCCTCCCTGGGTTGTCAATACTTATATTCTGCACAGCCTCAAGTTCATTTTTCTTGATTTCTATGATTACTATGGCGAAATGCAATGCCATTTTAGAACCTGTGACAAATATATTACAGTGTGTATCGGTAGATCTCTATCAAGTCAGCAAACATATTGATTCGTTACTAAAAATGATTCGATAGTAATTATGATTAGGTATTATTACAACGTGTCTATACGGCCGCTGCAGACACCCGCGGAGGTATCGTATTTTACGATAGTACCGTCGACGCGGAATTTATAATAATTTTGTTGGGGTTTTTTTTTTTTTCTTCATAAAATATTATTTTTCGTACGCTGTTATATTAATAATAATAATATTCAATAATATTCGTATCGCGTGCGGTCGCGTTCGTCGGGATCGGCGTATAGAAAATCTCCACGGCGGCGGCGACGCAGCATCCGAATATTATTATTATAGTACGCGGTAGATAAAAAAAAAAAAAAAAAAAAACGAAAAAAAGCACCTATATTACTGTTTTAAAAACGTCCGAAAAATCAGGCACGCGAAGTTTGTTTCTGTTCTTTTCCCCCCGGGTGATCTTGCGGATGATTGAGCGGAGGTTCGCGTGCAGATGCTTACGGTCATAATGTCGTATAATGATGCGGATATTGTGTCGATAGAATAAAGTAGTGATGAGTAAAGAGTGTTCGATGATAAAGAACGGATAGGCCGTGAGGCCGTACCTAAATTCCTGTACGCCAGACCCGTTGTACATTTTTTCGTTCTCCGATACGGCGGACTTGGGCGATTTGTATTTTCCATTATTTTATACGATACGACAACGTGATAACCGATTTACCGATATGACCGAGGCACAACGTTATCCTTATCACGGTGCCGCCGCGAAATGTAAACAAATCGCCCGAGTAGTAGTGGATAAATGACAGTAGCGCCCGGACTTATGACCTATCCATTGTTCAATGACTGTGGATGGTTTTCTTTCACAGGCGTTCTCGTGATTTTTTTTTTATTGGAGGGGGGATCTGAAAATCTATTAAAAAGTAAGCCGTGTGAGCTAAGCCCCCACATCCCCTTTCTTATGCACAAAAAATATACACGCATCAAATTATGACACTCTCGGAATTTAAAAATTGCCGTGTCGTTATTGCAGACGAGTACGGCGAATTTTATTGTCAATAGTATGTATTTAAAACTACGTTTAAAGGTTATTGTAACCCGTTAATCGCGTCACATACTTAGTTCGTGTAAATCGAAACAACAACGACGAAAAAAAAAAAAAATCAATGCGCTTAGCGTTTTGACCGCGGAGAAGAGAAGTTCGAAATTTGCTCAACTGACATAAATACCTATACCATTACCAACATGATGTAATACCCCCCTCGACGATCGTCGTGTAAAACGAACCTTTAAAACTTTTTCGGGAAAATGTGTTATTGAGACTTTGCAGTGTAATATATTATGATTCGGCGTATTCGAAGAAAATATATAATATTGTTATTCACGGGGCGAGATCTCAGATAAAATGCCTATACAAATTTGAATGAAAAACAAAAAAACTGCATATAAATGTAATAATACAGAGTGTCCCACGGAGATATGACAAATCCTAAAATAACATTCGTTTTACGTACAATGTTTTCGAGGGTTTTTTCTAAGAATAATTATCATTATTACCTTGAAAACTAAAAATACTTTTTTTTTAATTTTTACAAAATTCAAGTGAGCCATTTTATAAATATATTTTGAAGTGAAAATTCGGTGTTACAAATAATCGAAGCGGTTTATCGAACGCGTTGAGTTTCTACAATTTTTCGAATTTACGATTTTCGTAAACAACTAAATAATATTGTTCGTGAAAAATTAATGAACCGACTGATATTAATTTTCCTGAAGTTTACGATGATTTAAACTGTTTCCATTGTCACTGTATATTACTGAACCCCCTCCGAAGTATAAATTACCTTTTGGTTTGTATT